CCCAACCTTCGCCACTCTAGCCACTCCAATGATAAGCACTAATTGCCTGTATGAAACCCCTTTTTGTGAAATATCTAGAGTAATTTCTGTTTTCCTATCTGGGGTATGCGATGTAAGAAGAAATAAATATTTGGTCTCTGCCCCCAGTTCCTAACACAGAGCTCCTGAAATCCTTGGAGATTCCTGAATGATGGGGGCACTAGGAGCATTGTGTTCTTCTTTTTTAATTTAACATTTTTCTCTTCTTCCAGGTGTTTTTTTCCTTTTTTAAAAAAAAAGCTTTTATTTTAGGTTAGGGGATACATGCACAGTTTGTTATATAGGTAAGCTTGTATCACAGGGGTTTGTTGTACAGATTATTTCATCATCCAGGTACTAAGCCTAGTACCCAGTAGTTTTTCCGGCTCCCCTCCCTCCTCCCACCCTCCAGCCTCAGATAGGCCCCAGTGTCTGTTGTTCCCTTCTTTGTGTTCATGCTGGACATCAAGAGGACTTCGAGGGGAGCACCCCAGGCAGGCCACCAACCAGTGGGCTGAGGCAGAGTTTGGTTGGGGCAGTGGGAGGACAGCCCGGGCAACTCCAGGGGAAAATCTTCCCACTCCATCCCATCTGGCTTTCCCCATCTGCTGAGAGCGACCTTCACTCAGTAAAACCTTACACCCATTCTCCAAGCCCAGGTGTGATCTGATTCTTCCAGCACACCAAGGCAAGAACCTGGGATACAGAAAGCCATCTGTCCTTGCAACAAGGTAGAGGGTCTAACTGAGTTGGTTAACACAAGCCGCCTAAAAAGGCAAAACTAAAAGAGCACCCGGTAGCACACACCCACTGCAGCTTCAGGAGCTGCAAGCATTCACCCGTAGACACTGCCGTGGGGTCGGAGCCCCACAACCTGCCTGCCTGTCTGCTCCCCTTGAGGTTTGAGCAGCAGGGCACTGAAAAAGCGAGTCACCCCCCCCATCCCATGCCCTGCAAGGGGAACAAGGGAACTTTTCCTGTTTCAATATGGTGTCCAAGAAACCATGACACATTTCACAGAGGGCCTAGGCTCTGGAGGGCTGGAGTATGAGATATTCCCCCTCCCCTGTGAACTTTAAAATGTGGCCAACAATTTTTTCAAAAGATGGCTACCCTGTAGTACTTTAACTGGACCTATTTAGACAATGACTTACACGCTGTAGAAGAAAGACGCTATGTGAGTCTACTAAGTTTAAAGACGAGACTTCTCTCTTTTGTCTTGTCCTTCCTCTCCAGCTCCGTGAGGGTGGACATTATATGTCTCTCATCATTTCAGCAACAAGGAAACAAATTAGTGTTCCCAGAAGCCCCTGTGTGCCCCCTTCCAATCATAAACCTCTCTCTAACCCTTACAGGTAACCACTATCCTGTCTTTTGTAATAATTTTCTTTTTTTTTTTTTTTTTTTTTAGTATCAATGTTCATTTATTTAAAAATGAGAAATGCTAACAGGATCTGGTACACAAAACATCTTGATTTTTTTTACGTCAGATGGGTAATGTGCCGACAGCCTAACAATATTTGAGGGGGACACATCTCACACATGCCCATGATCACACTTATGAAACACAAAATGAGTTTGAGATAGTTTATATATTTCCAAAAAATAATATAATGTCCTTTTACAGTAATCAGAATTAACAGGCCAGGCAAGGTAGCTCACACCTGTAATCCCAACACTTTGGGAAGCTGAGGCAAGTGGATCAGGAGTTTGAGATCGGGAGTTCGAGACCAGTCCAGCCAGTATGGTGAAACCCCGCCTCTACTAAAAGTACAAAAATTAGCTGGGTGTGATTGTGATGGTGCACGCCTGTAATCCCAGCTACTCAGGAGGCTGAGGCAGGAGAATCACTTGAACCCAGAAAATGGAGGTTGCAGTGAGCTGAGATCATGCCACTGCACTCCAGCCTGGACAACAGAGCAAAACTCCATACCCCCTAAAAAAAGTTAGTTAACAGTCTGAGATAAACTATAAAAGAGAAAACACATTTAACCAAATATGCCAGTAAATTGAAACCTTTCAGTTATTTCGATGAGAATGTTTCACAAAAATGTTCTGTTTCTTCTAAATAGGATAAATACTAAGATTCTTTTGTCCTAGAGACCATTGCTATAGAGTTGATAATCTCATTGCTCTTTATGAAATAAAAAAAATGTGTCTATAAGGCTTAGTTTGCAATTTTCCGACGTATAATTTATTCACATTTATTTAAAACTAAATATTTCTTTTTATAGTTATGTCAAAAAATAGTGATGAGGTTTTATGGCTTACTTAAAATATAAATGAGAAAAACAGACATTTACCATACCAAGAACTGGTTTTAATTTTTTTTTAGAGGAAATACTATAATTTAAAAAGTTGTAAAATATTTAACAGAATTTCCAGCAATGATTATTTCCAAAATGTAAAGATTTAAAACATAATTTATACAAAACTAAAAATCAGAAGGATTCATTCTTGCTTTTTCCTTTTTTAAAAAATTCAATTTGTCACAGAAAGTTCGGCACGTGATAGCAGCTGCAGCCTCAGTCCCCCTCGGAATCGCTGTCCCTCCACATGGGAACAGAGCGCCGCAGTGAGGACAGCAACACGTCTTCAATCTGCATCTTAGGGTTTTCCTCCAAGTCCGTATTAATTGCTCCAGATTCAGTTTCTACTCCAACTCATCTCTTGTCAGGTTCATGCCACCAAACACCAGAGGGCCAATAAACTGAGCCTTGATATCACCTTCCAGGTAAACAAATATCGTGGGCAGATTCCTATCAGGATAATTGGGTATGCAGGTTGTTGAAATGGCTTTGATAAACTTGACATCAGGAAACTTGCTGGCAAGTCCACTGAGGTGCTGATTTATCAGGGCACAGAAGGGAATTCCTCGTTTGTAAAGGTGCAAGATGACCCACAAGCCCTCACCGGCTTTGGTTACTTCTTGAACATAATCCTTCCCTGAGATCTCCAAAAATTCTCCAAATTTATTCTTCAGTTTAGTTGCTTTCCACTCAGCCAGTCTCTGCTGTCTGTACATTTCAATAGCACGTTCATCTTCCTCATGAAACTCGTCTTCATGATCCTTCAGCTCTTCCAAAGTCATAGCTTCATATGTTGTCACCACTGACTGCTGGACCATGTGCTGCTCCTCCTCTGCCTCCTCTTCCAATTCTTTCAGACTTTCCTTAGGGGCAAGATGCCCTTTTTGTGTAAGATGTCATTCCACTCAGTGTCTGCCCTGGGGTCCTGCATCTTGTTTCCAATCGCTCAAGCCAGTTGTGCCACTGTAATAATTTTCTTGCTTTTAAAATGTAGTTCTGACCTGGTGCTGTGGCTCATGCCTGTAATTCCAGCACTTTGGGAGGCTGAGGCAGGTGTATCACCTGAGGTCAGGAGTTCAAGACTAGCCTGGCCAACATGGTGAAACCCTGTCTCTATTAA